TTTTGCAATCCCGATGCCAACAGTAGCAGATTCGTGAAGGTTTCTTTGTTTCGGTGACACTTGGTGTTGACCCGTCCTTGTTCGGAGTTGGTTTCGAGTTACCCATACCCGAACGGGACTAGATTTGAGTTACCCGCCTCTATTCGGATTCAAATAGACGTTACCCATTGGTTTTTGACAACGGACCAGCAAGCGTGAAGCCTTTCGAACTTGGATTTGGGAGCCCGAACCTCCTTTACATCGACCCACTCATAACCCAAGAGGTTTTAGTGTGAGATAGTAGGTAACGATTCACCAAACCTTAGTTTCAAAGAAAATTAAGTGTTTTTGAGTTGGTTTCCAACTCAAGTTTGGTTGCTTTGATTTAGGGAATCCTTCGGCGAGATTAGTAGCGTGTTATGACCCGTGTGTAAGTAGTTCTTACGTGGGGGATGTTTGTTGTTTGAATATGTATGAATTGTTTGGTGCTTTCGATATGTTTATTATTTATTAATATGTAATTTGGTTATGTCTTTGTGAATATGGGCTAATGATAATAAGTAGTTTGAATGAAATCATGTTGATTCTGGTTGTTTATAACTGATTTGCTTTGCGTTGTTGGATTTGATGCTTAGTGGTATTTATGAAAGCATTATGGATTATGAATGGTTTTATCATTGTATGGTTATGTTCATAAAAACATACTGAAATAATGTGGAAATAACGTGGAAGAAATCTATTGTGTTGTGCATGCATGTTGGACATGTCATTTCATTTTTAGCTTACTGTTTTTGGTTCTGGAAGCATGCTGGTTTTATTGTGAGTTGAGGGCTACATGGGTCATTGCTTAGAAAGTATGTAGTAGGACTCTGGTGAGAGTTTGGTCCTTAATGAAGTGAATGGGCTATGTTGTGTTCTGATTACAATGAAATTTTTAGAGTGTTGGATGCGTATATGGATATATGTCGGCTACGTCTCTTTTGTGAATTATCTGCGCTACGGTGTGTAAAGCATGCTGAGTGTTGAGAGAAGGGTGTCCTCATGATGTTGGATGACCATGTCTGGATGATAGTGACATAGGTTTTGTGTATTACGTATGTTCCATTGTTGTGAGATAATTTCTGCATGGGTCATGGCTGAAAAGCATGTAGGTCTCTGGTGAGAGTTCCAGGATGTAATAAAGTAAATGGAGAACTAACAGGGCCAAAAGGCTGGCACGTCACTAGTTGGGTATCGAGGCTCCAGGTGCGAAGGTCGGGAATCGATACCCCAACTTGGTAGAGATGAGTGTCGAGGCTCCGGGTACAAAAGGTCGGGGGTCGACACAGTGATTCTAATTTGTTGAATTAATATTGGGTCTTGATGTGGTGGCGGTCAAGGACCAATACGTTGAGTAGTCGTCGATACCTTGGGGATAAATGTCAAGGGTCGATGTACAGTTCAAAGCCTTGGGGATAAATGGCAAGGTCGAACGCCAAGCTTCTGTAGATGAGTGTCGAGCTTTGGGGATAAATGGCAAGGGCCGATACGATTCGAGGAGTTAGAATTAGAGGACTAACATAATGTGATGAACAGTTCAAAGTCTTGGGGATAAATGGCAAGGTCGAACGCCAAGCCTTTGTAGATGAATGTCGGGCCTTGGGGATAAATGGCAAGGGCCGAAAAGATTCGAAGAGTGAGACTTGGAGGACTAACATAGTGTGATGGGTTAAGAGTTGCTTGGAGGCCAAGGGCCAATACGTTGAGTAGTAGTTGAGGCCTTGAGGATAAATGTCAAGGTCCAACACCGAGCACCGTAGAGAAGTGTTGATGCTTTAGCTACGAGAGGTCAGGGGTCGGTACGACTCGAAGGGTAAGTCTTGGAGGAATCATGAAAGAGCACTAGTGAATTAAGATGTGAGGCTGAGTTTGACATGTATGGTACATTTTTAGTTAAACTTATACATAAACTGCTTCTCGAAATATGTTTCTTTCATTTAAGGCTCGAGATTAATGATAAAAATGTTGTGTTGATCTTTTGATAAGCCTGACACATTGTATCCTTGATAAGCTTGCTGTTTGTACGTGACCCTCAGATAAAGGCTGCTTACTAAGTACTGTGGTTATACTCATCCCTCTTTTTCCCCTCCAGTTTTGCAGGTATCGAGCTAGCTCTTGGGATGGTGATGGCGAGGAGGAGACTTGACTAGAGAGACCATTTAACGTTGCGTCGTTAAGTTTCCATTTGGATAGGATAGTTATAGTTGTTTATTTGTAACTGAGTATGTTTTGAGATTATTAAATTGGGTTGTTAAGTTCCATTTTTTTTAAAAGGATGTGATAGGGCTGACAGTGCACTATTCTTTTGAGAACATACATTTTATTTAGCTACTTGAACTTTGGCGATGTGATCTATTAAGGATATTTATCAGGATAATACATTTGTTCAAGCTGAACTTGAATTAGCCTTCTCTTTGCTGCTATTCGAGAAAGTTAGTTTTGTGTAGTGGATGGTTTTGATTAGTGAAGATTGCGGTGAAAAGGTTTCTATAAGGTTGGATTGTTACTAAATTATTAACTGAGAAGGATTTGAGTTCGTTAGAACTTTAGCATTGTTTGTTTTGTTTAATGTCAGCTTATGTAAGTGTTATTAATTAGAGTAGCGCAGCAGAAGCGTGGTGAGAATTGTCAAAATTTGTATTTCTAGTGATTTAGTTCTCTAGTACGAGTGATACTTTTTAAGTGACTTTTAGTAACGTTCCCTGTTTGAATGCTGAAAATCCTAGGGCGATACAGTATCAGCTTTGCTCCATCTTTCACGAACTGCAGTATCTTCTCCGCTTTAAAACCTTTCTTGAGATATAGGTCCCTCGTCTTAGCTGCCTAGTCTATAAATCGGCTGAATGTCGCCTGGTGTAGTAGCACAATGTTTATCTTTTTATTTCCACTGGATGATGGTAGGACCTACAAAACAGAAGAGTGGACACCGCATCGCTTCCCCATATGTCTTTGCCGACTTCTTTTTCAAAGGTGGGGGTTGTGAAGTGTTGGGGGACTTATGTTTCTTGGTTGGGCTAGAATTGGGTAGAGAGGAAGGGGGCCATTTTCTTTTTCAG